TTTAAAAATATTTATAATTTAGTTAAATCTCTACTAAAATCTTTAAGGTTTTAGTTAAATGTCGAGGGTGGTATGCTAAGGTCTTTACATTACTCAAAGATTAAAAGGTGTTTTAACCCACTTCCAAGCGAGGCCCGTATATAGCTGCTGCCGACTCCCTCCCTGTGTCTGTCTCTCTCTACTTTTCTTTCTACACTCTCTCTCCGTCTTCACTTTTCTCCATGGCCAACCCCTTCCTGAGTTTGACTTCACATCGCGAAACTCACATTGCTAGAATGGGCAGAATTAGGGTTTCCCAGACTCTTCCTTCAGCCCCTGATCAACCCACACCCTCTGATCTTCCAACTGCGATGCTCATTGATGGAGAAGAATTACATATTGGCGGAATTGCAACGGTTGTAAACAATGAAGCTTCGCCGGCTTCGTCGACGAATGCAGATACTGAAACTGAAAAGAAAAGCTGTAAAAAGAGGGATTTGAGTGAATACAATTTGGATGGCTTGAGTTGCCCTATTTGTATGGAGCCATGGAAATCCCAAGGCGATCATCAAGTTTGGTGAGACAAGCCCTTTTCATTATTGCTACTGTAGATATTTTTCCACTCATGATTTAGTTCAATCGTGTTTATATGCCAATTGGTGGTAATATTACTTGAATTACCATGCTGTTTGTTGTGTAATAACTAGAGTAGAGGTCAATTAGATTAATTAAGTCTAGGGGTGTTCAGTTTTGATGTTGGTTTTAGCTTGTCAAAAGAAGTTATGATGTTGTTTTTCGGGGGGAAAAAACGAAAGAAAGGAGGAGGAATGGCTTCAGGAGTGAATGAGTGGACACGTGATACAGCGGAATACACGGGAACTAAATATCATTCTAGTTGACAAAGGGGCTCTTGAATCCCAAGAAAATAAAACCTTGAACTCACAAGAAAGAGTAAAATACTTTAATATTATTGAATAAAATAGTCTTTTCCATAAGGGTTAGATAGCTATTTACAATAACCTAGACCTTGGAGGCCAAGTACTCTTGGATACCAAGAAATCTAACAATTTCTTGGGGCCATCGGACTCAGAGAAAACTCTTGAATTAATTGTAGTGCGCTTGCGGGAAACTCCTTGTCAAAGGCCTGTGCACTCCTGAGGATTAGTCGGACTTTAATTTGAACACCCCAGTGCCAATCAAAAATAAAAAATAAATAAAATATTACAAATAAAGATATAGAATTTCTTAAAATCTTGTCCTACATCAGCGTGTCAGGACTAGGTGTAGTTCGGTGCAAAAATGGATTGTGACATCTTTTCTAGAGATTGTATGTTGTCCAGGGTGAAGATCACCTGGTTCTTTGGTTGTCTCAATGAGGACTTAAAATCTCCTAGGCATTTGAAGTGGAAAAGAAACGCAACGAGTGTGGAAAAACAATATTGCATTCAATGGATTGAATTACAATAATTGGAGCAAACTAAACTAATTTGGAAATGGAAATTACAATAGCTAATAAAACTAAAGTTGCTAAATATTGTTGTGTTGATTGGATGATTGGTTGTACTTCTGCAATCTGACCTTATATAACCAGGCCTCCTTAGATGTTAGGGCCACTTTCTCAACCACTTCCACTTGGTACGATGCTAGGTTAACTATCTCTTGTATTGCTGAATTTGCTAACCGCAGGAGTGAACAGTTGTTGCCATCAGCTTCTGATCATTGAATGATGGGTAGTGGAGCTCCAAATGTGATGGATGAATGCCATGTGCCCAAACCACCAGGCCATATCCCAAGATTGTTGCTCCATGGTGGTTTAAATGGATGAATGCCTTCTTGACATCACTCTCACCTAGAGAAGTCAACGAGGTAGATAGGGACAACGAGGTAGATAGGGACAGACCCTATTCTGACCACACTCTCTACATTTGACGGGTTCTGTACCTGTTCTCCATCACTAACTCAAATTATTACTCCAAGCTCTTCAAATCTCATCCCAACCCATTTATCATATATACACATATGCTAAGGATTTTGTAGGTTCTAGTTTGAGATAAGTTTCATCTTGTGTTACATGGACTTTTCTATTTTTCCCAAAGTACATTCTCCGGATATAAGAAGGCTATGGGTGTGGGATATGTGGCCAATGCCCGTATCCAATGTACACACTTGGATTCTAACTTTGAGAAGATGAGAAAACTCACATTTGTTAGTAAGGAAACATTTCTAGCGTCACACATGGATGAGAGATGGAAATTTCATATTTTTTTCTAAATCCTATTTAATTTGAAGTATATTTCTAAATAATGTACATCTTATTCAAGAATATTATACAATATCCAATATATATAAATGCTTGAGACATCATTCCCGTATTCATACTCAACTTTTGGATGCATATCCCAATATTCTAAAATGTTTAGAAAGATTTGACGATTGGATAAGCACCCAAATACCCCGAGTCCATGTAACATAGGTTTCCATGTAGCAATAGGTGGCATTTATGACGAAAGCCAATTTATTTTATTCATTGGTTTGAGATATGCCTGTCTGAAAATAGTACGTTCTTGTGTCATCCTGGATGGGATGGCCTTAATTCAGTCTATTCAATGATGTTTGTCGTCAATAAATACCTTCAATGATGTTTGTCAATGCCTTCTCTGTATCTGATCATCTGATATTGTGGTTGGGGTCAATAAATACCCACTTCAGTCACACCCTCTCAACCATTTCTATAAGCACTTGGTAATCGGTAGTTGTTTGTCATTTGGCAGTTAACCATTGTACCTGCCCCAGTTCTAAAAACCATTTTTCTTGTTTCTGTTGGCTACATAGATTAATCACTTCAGCTTATTATAATTGTAAATGTGCAACAATATATCAATTTGGTTTTGTTGGTTAACGACTTACTGATCACCCTTCTCTGCATCGTGTTGCTTTTGTATTCTTGCGAATTATATTGGTGTATAGGATGGTTATATAGTTTTTATTTTTATTATTTTATTTTATTTTTGGTGTTGGCTTAAAGCAGGTAGAGGAATATAGCCTTAGGACCCATCTCATACAAATGAAACATACTTTGAAGAATGGTCAGCAGCCAATGATCGGGAATCGGAGCACCTACATGACTGCACAGATGCTGAGCTAACAACATTTTGCTTTGCCTCTTCACCAAAGACAAATAACAACACTGTCTGCTTAGGTCTTAGTGAGTGTATATTGAACCTTTTTTTTTCTTTATTTATTCTGTGGGGAATATGCATTTTTTCTTCAATTATTTTGTTAATTTTTTTGATATTTTATTTTATTATTAGCGTAGAGCTGTTGGCTCCGTGCCTTCTACATGTAATTTTTGTATCACTCAACTGAAAAGAAAATGCATGGCAAAGGTTCAGTGAAGTTTTGTACATCTCTGCATTTTGCGGTTTTTAGGATTGAACAGACTTTTTGGGATCATCTTCTTGTGACTTTTGGATTCAGCATTACTAGTCCATGACTGAGAAAAATGGATGTCTGCAATGTTCGAGCAGGTATGTCTGGTCGAAAATCACCTTTATGTTGGGCTGTAAACAAGCTGTGTCGAACTTTTCAGTATTCAAGTTCAGGTCACTAATGAGTGTTTGGGTTTCCCTTTTCTGGTGACTTTTTTGTTGAATTTTTTTTGTGTAGTGATTTTTATTTTAATTTTTTAAAAAACTTTAGGTTTTCGGATTCTACTTGACCAGATGTATCGGAAAAGTTAAAAAAAAAAAAATGTTTAAATTTAAAAAAAAAAAAGAAGTCAAGAAGGAACAAAAAAGAAAGCGAGAAATAGGTTTTTTTTTTACCTTTTTTTTGTTTTTTTGTTTTATAGATGTTTTTTCAATTTTTTTTTTTTAGATTTTAGATTTGTTTACACAATATTGATCAAAAAAATTAAAATAAAAAAAAATAATTTTAAAAAAATATCGCAAAATATATATATATATATATATATATATGTTTTTGTAGGTTGTTTCCAAACACCCTAATCTTAATATCGACACGTTAAATATTTGTGAAATTCAAGCTCGATTCGAGTCAATTCAATTACATAAATGAGTTGAATTCGAGCTTTAAAACCAAATCAAATAAAATCAAACTTAAATTAATATGTATCTTAAGAGAAAAAAAAAAAAAGAAATTGTGAGTAATACTTTTTTTTTTTTAAAATAGTCATATTAATAATAAATTTTATCAATCAAATATATAAATTTACACAAATACTAAACATATATAGAGATATAAAATAAATTTAATGTATTATTAATTAAAAGGAAAAATAGAAATCCATATTCTCAACCCTATAAGTCATTAAGGATAAGGGTGGTTCTATTGGGATATGAGCACATTTGTTAGTCAAAAGTCGATTAACAGATTTTGCGCGCTTAATGTTTCTCAATTTAAAATGAAGAAAACTTGGGGGCAAAGCAAAATAAATAAATAAAAAAAATAAAAAGAAAGGACATGCAAATGGGGAAGGGATACGGCATTATTAAATCAATATTATGAAGGTATGGCAGCTCATTTGGGTTTGCTGGCCATTGATGCTACCTTTTTTTTTTTTTTTTTTTCAATTGTTTTCTTGGTGAGGAAGAAAGGTTGGGAAATGAGAATAAAATCTGTTTCAAAAAAAGATGAATAATAATAAGGTTGACATAAAACAATTATAAGAAAATAAATTAGATTCTCAGCTAAAAATTTCACCGTCAAATTATTATAACAAACTATCAATACTTTTCATTATATTATTTAATATCTCAAAAATACGGGATTTCATAATTTATCCCCCTTAAACAAATTTCATTCTCGAAATTGTCACGCCTCGGATTTCTGAGATCTGGTCCACGTGAATAAACTCGTAAACGATAAATAAAGGTAGTGATACGATAAAAGAAAGTAACATCTCTTATGTAAATGACTATTATAAAGTCAAACAATACATGAGTTCATCCGATTTTAAAGTCAAACAATCATTTCTTTCTGTTCATTAAAACCTTACGTTTGCTCAAAACATTTTTCATTATCAAAACATTTGTGGCTAGACCACTTTCCAAAAATAACTCTGTATATCACGATACCAACCAGCAAATACATTGTTAAACCAAAAACAAATACATTGCTGAGCAAAAGTAAATACATTACTAAACATTTTCAAAACATCATTTTCAAAGTCAAAATGATAACAAATAAAATGGATAAATATCCCGGGCTAGTGTTCATAATAGTAACTATACAAGCTACTATGCTATTTTACTAGGATTATCCGAATGAACTCATGTATTGTTTGACTTTATAATAGTCATTTGCATGAGAAATGTTACTTTCTTTTATCTTCTCGTTGTCTTTCATTTATCGTTTACGAGTTTATTCTCGTGGGTTGAATCTCAAAAATCTGGGGCGTGACAGAAATTCTCAATCCTTAATACTCTAAAATTTCGTAACGAAAAAGTCTTTAAATCACACACTTTTACTATGCACTCTGATATAAACAACAATCTTTTTTTTTTTCACCTCAAATATCAACCAATTTTTTTTAACCTCAAATATTGACCTAAAATATGAATCACTTTTTTTTTATACCTCAAATATCAACCTCCCAACAGATCCCATGTAAGACCTAATCTCTACACACTGATACCATTCTGTGATGCCTCAACTTCTGGGCCATTAATAAATAAAATTAACCTTAGATTTACAATTTCAAATAACTCATACCCTCAAATATACAAATCGCCTCCAAAAATAATTACACAAATGTCTCCAAAATATAATTTGCACAAATCTCCAAAAATAATATATAGTGATAGCCCCCAATTGTCTAACTCAATTAATCCGTTTAGTACATCAAATCCAATCGCTACTAAATTCCTCCACACTTGAAAAATAAATTAACTCGAGAAGTATACAATACGACAGGAATAACAACGTTCGGATAGAGAACAAATCGACAGGGATCCAATAAATTACGACACTCCACAAACGATTCGATTCGATAATCAATCAATTTATCAAATTGCACAAACAGATTAACTCAACATATGATAACCTGTCCAGGACCAAATACCTAGTCCTACTCAATACATGACTAGTGACCAATCTCACTCACCTCATCCAAGCACAACTGCTTGGCATATTGGTGCAAGTTATTGGCAAGGTCTACTCGATCCACGTATGGAGCAATTCCATGTCCTTTAGTCAAACAAATCATCACTTTCAGAATAACTTTATTGGAATTTATCAAATGATCAGAATAATCAAACGTATCAGCAGAGAATAATTCCACAGAATTTATCAAATGACTAAAATAATCAAGAGGAATACAAATTGAAAGTAATTAAAATAAAAACTCTTTGCAAAGAGATTTAGAGATAGCATATTGTATACCACCCAAATTATCTCAAAACAATTCCTCCGTCATGTCACTTTAATCATCTGATATTACTCCATAAATCTCCAAAAGTAGTTGACCAAAATTTTAAGATAATAGGTATGTAAGGTTTGACAAATTCTACATCTCTTTTCTTAGAAAAAATTATTAACCCTTACTCTAAACACTTTCCAACTAAACTCAAAGTTTTTGCTAACAAAAGGATGGAGAGAGAAGCAAACTTGGGGCAAAGGAAAAAAAAAGAAATAAAAAAATAAAAAGAAAGGACGTGGAAATAGGAAAGGGATATGGCATTATCAAATCAATATGAAGGCATGGCAGCGCATTTGGGTCTACCGACCATTGAAGGTACTTTTTTTCCCCTTTGTTTTCTTGGTGAGGAAGAAAAGCTTGGAAATGAGAATAAAATCTATTTTCAAACCCAAGAGGTTGTGGCATTGTGGTAAGGCCTTGGGGTTTAAGCCCCTAGGTCACAAG